AACAGTCGACTGTTTTCACAACTGTGCAGTGAGTTGGATGCACCAAACAATGCTCTGCTATTTCACACCGAAGTGAGATGGTTGTCCAGAGGAAAAGTTTTAAAACGTGTTTTTGAGCTTCGTGATGAACTTAAAACATTTTTTAATCAGAAAGCAAGACCACAGTTTGAAGCACTTTTCAGCGATAAAAATGAACTGCAGAAAATAGCTTACTTGGTTGACATCTTTGCCATCTTGAATGAGTTAAATTTATCACTGCAAAGACCAAATGCAACATGCCTCGATTTATCTGAAAAGATGCGATCATTCCAAATGAAACTTCAGCTTTGGCAAACAAAATTGGATGAAAATAAAATTTACATGTTGCCTACCTTATCTGCTTTCTTTGAGGAACATGATATTGAACCAGACAAAAGGAATACAATGATAATTTCTGTGAAAGAACACTTGTACTTGCTTGCAGATGAAATTTCATTGTACTTCCCAAATCTACCCGACACCCCATTTGCACTTGCCAGAAGCCCATTCACAGTGAAAGTTGAAGATGTTCCTGAGACAGCACAAGAGGAGTTCATCAAACTTATTAACAGTGATGCAGCAAGAAATGATTTCTCTACAATGCCAGTTACAAAATTCTGGATCAAATGTTTGCAGCCATATCCTGTTCTGTCTGAGACTGTGTTGCGCCTTCTTCTTCCATTTCCAACAGCACATCTTTGTGAAACAGGGTTTTCCAGCTTGTTGGTTATCAAGTCTAAATACAGAAGTAGACTTGTTGTGGAAAATGATCTTCGTTGTGCTCTTGCAAAGACTACCCCGAGAATTTCTGATCTGGTGAAAAAGAAGCAATCTCAACCTTCCCATTGACCTTGGCTTTTTACACATACTGTCGCAAAATGTAGCAATGTAGTTTACTGTTATTATATTAAGACTGTTACCCAGCATCTGTGGCTCAAGCGGCTAAGGCACCAGCCACATACACCTGAGCTGGCGGGTTCAAATCCAGCCCAGCCCGCCAAACAACAATGATGGCTACAACCAAAAAATAGCCAGGCATTGAGGTGGGTGCCTGTAGTCCCAGCTGCTTGAGAGGCGGAGGCAAGAGAATCGCTTGAGCCCAGGAGTTGGAGGTTGCTATGAGCTGTGATGCCACTGCACTCTACCCAGGGCAGCAGCTTGAGGCTCTGTCTCAGAAAATAAATAAATAAAACAGTAGAAAAAAATTAAAAAAAAAAAAAAAGACTGTTACCCATGCAACACCATGCTTCAAGACAAAATTTCATTTATTTGTAATTAGAAATAAGTATTTGACAATATATAATTACATATTATTTCTGTGATTAATCACTATGCTTTAATTATGTTCAATTTGTAACCATGAAAATACATCCTGCATATCAGGGTGGTGCCTGTGGCTCAAAGG